TCAATGTAGACCTCAGCTCTACTCATATAAATGTGGGAAAATTCAACTACCAGTCCTTCATCACCTTAAATGAAATTGCGTGAACACATCTCAGATATCTGATTTACTGGTACTCTTAAAAACCTATTAAATAAGGAAAAAATTGTAATTCAATGTTTACATCGCTTTATATTTCTATTTTATCACCATAAGAGTAATTCCCAAAGCTATATCCATAAATACTCCAACCATGTAACCTAACTCACAAAGGTGGTTTGATTTCAATTTTTTGTTATAAAGATAATCATAAATAACTAAAAACCAAATATATATAGACGAAATGTCAGAGACTGTATCGATTCGGCCATACAAGTCGCTCCCAATACGAAAAAACTCGGTTAAACCTATCAGAACTCGCAATTATTAGTTAATCCTTTTGACATTTTTCAACTTTTACCCACCAACTCCAAAAACAGGTTACAGCATGTACGAGGGAAATAGAGGACTTAAGACTGCACGAAAAGTCTCCGAAACGGATCTCTATTACTACCTGTGTCATGCCAGTGGAGCCAACGGAGCTCTTGAGCTAGCTCCCATCCTCACCAGTCTGGTGGACAAATTGACAAGACTTGCGCACTTGCCCCATCAGCCACTCAATCGAAAAGTGACCTGGCTGACGACCCAGCAACGCGAAGGCGACTTGAGGGGCCTGATTGATCATTGGATTGATTCTCGCTCCACTTTGGGACAGCCAATCTCTCCGCAGCATGTAGGCACAGGGCAAAATGGACGATATTCTAACCTCGCCTCCTCATCCTTACACTTCTACCACCCATCTACAAGTCAAACATGATCACAATTAACAAGTCTGTTCTTTCGATAGACATACGAAACCGCATTTCCTATATATGACTGCAAAATTTGCACCTCCAAACGTTCTTCTGCTTCGAATGACTTGATACAAAGATTCACACAGAGTAGATTATACTTATATTGTCGTGAAATAAACGAGTATTTCATCATATCTTATAATGCATAGGCCTTCTCTCTTTATGTGTCCTTTCATAAAATCACGGTTATCTTAAACTGAGGGATCTCAGAACCAGGATGGATAAAGAAACTAAGATTGTACATTAACTTACCGATAACCTGTGAATAGGAAGCGTGTAGTGTCTTGGATTACCGATTTGTTA